CGCCAATTGTGCCGCTTTGCGCTCAACAAAGTGTTCTTTAGCTTTCTGTATGATGGTTGTACATTTGTTACGCGCTAACAAGAACCATCGGCGGGAGCTGGGGGAAGTTAACCGACGCCAGCGGCGGAAGGCTGATTTCTTTTTATGAACAGCGCGACAACAGGCGTGGTTGAACCATTCTGGAGAAAGAGGCTTGCCGGGTTTAGTGAAATGAGGAATAAATAGGTGCATGCCTTGCCTTTGGAGAAATTCGAAGCGGAGGTAGAGACATCGGCGGAAAAGCAACGTTCATTCCAGGGGTACGAAACTAGAAAGTTACGAAATCTGCACCAATCAGAGGAACCATATCGCCAGAATATGCGTCTGGAATTGGGAGGAACATTAGGATAAAAAAATTGGGTAGAGGGTGAAATAAGACAATAATCCGATAAGCCTGGGGGAGGAATAGCCGCAACATTTGAAAATAATTGTGGGCTGGATGTGAGGACAAGATCGAGGATGTGAGCGTAGTTGCCAGTACGATCAGGGATACGGGTTGAGAAACCAACCAGTTGGTGGAGGATATTCAATAGGGCAAATGATTCTGCTTCACGTCTAAGGGGCCATGTCCCTGAAGAGTGCAACAGCCAATCCCTGTTATAGACATTAAAATCACTCAAAATCGTGAATTGAGCTTTAGGGTCTGTTTCAACAATGTTACCTATGTTTGCCGATAAAACATCAGAGTGAAGGGTCATTACTATTTGGGGAACGGTACACAGAGAACGAAGTAGAAACAATTGAATGATGGATGAAAGCACAAACACTAAGCTTTGGGAATGAACGAAGTGTGAAGGGAATAATTGGGAAACTGAAGATGCGTGGTGTCTGTAGAAGCGTAGAGTTGTGTTTTGGATAAAAATAGAGCAAGGGTGGAAGTGGACTGCAGAAATTGATGTACAGAATCAATATTATGGTTCAAGCCGCGAACGTGAGTGAGTACGATTGTCGATGGAGAATTGTTCCTGTTTGTTGTAGTATTCATGTTTAGCTGAGAGAGTAACCGGCAACCTAGCCCTGGAACTTGAAGTGGTGAACCACATAAGGCCCCCATGGGGAAAGGTTAACCGTAAGAGTCAAACCACGGAGTAAACACTCCGGCTACGCAAGCACACCTTTCAAGCATTCTAGTTCGAGGTGACTACAAGAACATCACTGTTGTCTGTTTACTGCCATGTTATCTCAGCGTATCCATGCCCCGTTTCTACATCATCTGTTGACCTCCACGTGATTTTCTCTAACCCGAAAAGACAATTGCAAATAAGGAGCGGTGCGGTAGGTGACCGTTGCGCACGCGCAACATGTCTTCTGAACAGCGAAGCTTATTGAACTGAATGCGAGGCAATAGCGATTTTGCCTCGGATAAATTCACAAACACATTGAAGCTTAAATCCACATTACTAACAGGTTTACTTCATCCCAACTACGCACGCATCGACTGTCGAAAACCTTCGAACGATTACATTGACACATTCAAGGTCTCACAACCGCATATCCGAACTGGCAGCACGGGCATGGGAAGGCAGTGACGACGAGTCGTAATTAGTGGCGCCCGTGCATTTACCAAATCCCTTCGCAATCTTGGCTGATCTGAATTGTCTGTCTTCGTTTGGACATCGCCTCCAATCCTCCTGTTACCTCATCTACCATCCGAATGGGCAGCCAAAATCGTTGTAAGAAAGTGAAAGGTTACTGGTGGAAAACTGAACAATCAGTCTGTCCGGGTGAAAGATGACTGCTGAGTACCAATGGAAAGTGAATTGGGACAAAGCTTGTACAAACCTGCACACAACTTAATCAGCTTCGGATGTACCATGTTGTTGTTGTCATGGTTAGCTGCCCCCAACTCTAGGCATACGGAAACACAAGCACGTGCGAGAAAAACATTATCATGGTGAGACAAGCATCTGGATTATCGAGAGAGAGAGAGAGTGAAAAAATTACATACCTGGTCAAATCGACCACCTCACCGAGCCTTTGGATGAAATCGGTGGCACCACCGAGACGAAATTGAAATGGGCCATACGTCTTGTTATTGTCCAATATCAAATTGACTGCTCGACAGCGCGAACCCAGTAAAAGTCGACGAGTGAGTGACCTCAATTCACTCACATCTATTTCATAACCCTTTTTCAGGTTCTCTTGTATGCTGTCATCTGTGCCACATAATCCTAGTACAGCGAATTCACGAAAAGCTATTTACCTTGATCGGGGTCGGGAAGCCAGTGAATTTGAACTTTTGTATCCTGTGTGGATCGGATGATAGTGGTGAGAACACGAACTCACGTGTTCTGTGAGAAACAGGGTGCCTTTGAGATCCACTTTCTGAAAGTCCTGAGATTCCACAATCTCGGTGACGAACACGTTCTTCCATTGCCGGAGTACAGGTGATCCGGTATTATTCTACAATCGGAGTGGGAAATCGTCATTACCATAGAGTGCACACATGATAGTCGAAAATGTGAAATACAGCCAATCCAAGACAGTAACATGTAATCAACCTAAATGAATGACATTCCAATCGGAATCGTCCGCAACGCTCCATTAAAGCCAGCTCTAAATTCTGCGATTACAGATGATTGAAGTGAACAGACACTTGGATCCGTTGAATGCCAGATTTTTTGGTACCTACTCTGAGGTCCTCCGGGTAGACAATCGGCTCTCAGCTCTTCCGACGCATTATCGTAAGCACATTGAATAAGTGAAACACAGGAGGAGGCAACTAACCGGTAATGTTTGTCCGGAATGGATACAATGAACAAACGTTTTCAGTTGTTTAGTGTTATTAGCAAGGTAGCATCACAGACCGTTTTAACCTGAGTAACACTCGCCTGAGAAGATGCACGAGCGCCACTGTTCGCGAAACCCAGCCAAATCGCTGTGTCTAACCACTGTTGATGGTGATCTCGGGGTCCACAGCCGGGAAGCTTAACAGAACCCATGTGCCCCAGTCTCCTGGTTAGGGTTTTCATACCCTCGTGCCAGGTATTCAGTTGCCCGCTCTTCATTTTTTCCAATCACTTCACGCCTCGGCAAACGTTGCTCGCCGTGGCAACCTATTTGGTGACATGCATAACACGTATACAGTGGTGTTTGAACACCGACAGTCTATTTTTATCCTGTTCCCGTAATGACCAAATCTCTGCGCCGTAAAGCAGAAATGGCCGAACTGCTGCAGCATACACTCGACCCTTCACAGACAACCGGATGTCGCGACGGCGCCACAGATGTCTCAAGTTGGCAAATGCAAACCGAGCCCGCTGTATGCGCGCCGACACTTCATCCGTGATTCGTCCACCGGGTGAGATATAGCTGCCCAAATAATAATACTTGTATACTTTCTGTACAACTTCTCCGTCCAGGATGAGGCTGGGTGATGCGTTAACCCAATCTTGGAGCAGCACTTTGCACTTTGAAGGTGCAAAGCGCATGCCGAACATCGCTACGCTAGCACCCAAACTATCCAGAAAAGCTTGAAACATACCTGAATCTTCAACTAGTGGCACAATGTCTTCTGCATACTCTCGATCAGATAGTCTGCCATCTGGGAGTAAATCGATGCCACTATCCCTGCACGAGGATAGGACTGTTTCCATAATAAAATCTATAAGAAAGTTAAATAGAAATGGAGAGAGAGGGCAACCCTGACGAACACCACTTTCTGATGTGAACTCGGGTGAAAAAGTGCCGTAAGCTCGGACTCGACTTCGGCTATCAGTATAAAGCGATCGTATTATTGAAATTAATTTTTCGGACACACCCTTCAGGGAAAGGCAGTGCCCCAGAGTTTAGAGCGGTCGACTGAGTCGAAAGCCGCTTTCAGGTCGAGGAAGATGGAAATGGTGGGTCTACAGAAAGAGGGTCTGTGTTCTAGGATTTGACGAAGGGTGAATATGTGGTCGATACAACCTCGACCAGGTCTAAAGTCAGCCTGGTTCTCATGCGTGCACCGTTCACATGCGGCAGACAGTCGACGGAGTATACATCTAGGAAATCCTCGATAGTGACATCTTCATATGTTTAATTTAGATTGTTTGTCAGGGTGTGTTCAAATTGTAAAAGGTTCAGCAGCCTCGGTGGGTATTCGAACCCACACCTACGCTTTTGTACAACACGCTCTACCAGCTGAAACAACAGGCCACATCGATAGCACAGATCTTTCCCATTTGGATCACCAATGAATCTTCATTTTGTGCATACAAAATTTGATCATGTATTTTTCGATATATGAAATTTTCTCCCTTTGAACTGATTCACTCCCAGCATATTCTTGATCAGTAAATGGTGTTTACGGTCCTATATTTCTCTGTTCATAACTTTGCATTTCATCCAACTTGTGAATTTATTTCCACTGTATTTATTCATATCTTTATTGGGCCACAACAACAATAACTGTGATGTAACTGACATTGTTGGTAACTCTGCTTAAAATGACGACGACAACTAGAAGCAAGCGCAATGCCTCTCCGGATCCCCACTGGTAGCTGTTAGGTTCTCAGAAGTTGCAGGGCTTATTTCAAATGATTGGAATGATTTTTAACACCGCCAAGGATGTTCCAAGATCTCTTCTCTACTTCGTTCGCTCTAAACGCGAAGGATGATAACAATTTCTAACTTCTCTTACTTTCTGCTATCCTGCATCTCTTACCCATATCCCACTTCGCAGTCTGCGAACTACTCGATCTCAACTGGCAGCTGATGTTAATCTCCCCGGTGGTTTAGCGTTTATCGAAATGGGCGCCTCTTTGCGACGCAAAGTTTGGGATCCGATGAACGCGTTTGTTGAGGGAATCATCAATTCGCAGAATATCGTTCCCGGAGAACAAATCGAGGATACGGAATCGGGCTACTCGAATCCCTATCCGTCCACACGTGATCAGCCCCCAATGCAGCGGGTCCGAACGACCGAGGAAGCGGGTTTTTCCATTGTTCATATGGTAGGTATTTCGAGTTGTCCGTGATATCTGTTTCAATCTTATAAAATCTGCATCCCCTTTTTAATTTGGTTTCATTCTCGTATACAACTGTAAGTAATGTGATTTAATTTGAGCCTTCACATACAAGCAAGGAAATTTTGAATAGGTCAACCATAATGTTTGGTCGAACAGAGAAAAGGAAACCAGTAGCTTATTTTTCTATTTTAACTGGAAGTTGCATCATTCCTCCTGGGCAACAGGATCGGCGATGACATTTTACCGCTCCCCAGTTCCGTATCTTTTCCTAGTCAAAACAGAAATCAAATTTCGGACAACTTTTTTGCACTTATTACCCTCAGTCGGTAAGACCAGTGGAGAAAGATAAAATGCTGACACAATTTGAACTAACTGCTGTTTATCGAAGAAGCAGTTCCTACAACCGTACATTTTAGCACACACAACGGCAGGACTCCCATGGTTGATGGCGGAATGGAGAGTACTAGTGGAGCGGTGTTTGTGATGAACAAATCTATTTATTATGGAACCATTGCAAATACCATGCTTTAAAGTGGCATGTACACATATTACAAGGTTGCTCGGGTAGCTGAGCCGAAGGTATTGGTTGTATAAAGTGATATGTGTAACATCTGGCTTTGATTGCTTTCCCGTCTTCGGATTGAAGATATTGGGTAATATCTGTGTTAGTGGAGATGAGTACAGGCAGTCTTCTCCGTCTAGCGTCCGGTTCATGTTTTACGTGGATGTCGAATTGACGGCCTCCTAGTAGTTCTTTGAAGTCGTTGACCGTTAGCGGAGTAATCCTCGGTTCTTCCATAAGGGCTTCTGATTTGTTGAGCAAATTCACCAAGTAAAATTAGCTGTGGTCACCGCTTCGCTGTACCGTTCCATAGATGTAATTTTCAGTTATGAGGTTGAGCATAAGGAATTTGCCTATGATGCCAGAGATGAGGGACGAATATTAATTTACCTGCGGTTGTGGGGCCTTGTATACATAGTGTGTTAATCTGTTGTTCTTTCTTGTTCATAACATTGGTGACGGCTATTAGGATGTTATTCTCGTCTATGTTGTTGACCGTGAGCAGTTGGTCCAATCATTGGTATCCGTCTTGTGTTATACATACGTGGTTTCTGACAGGTTCTATTGTGGTTGTTGCGGGTCATGTACTCATGGAGCAGCGTTGTTTCCCGTTCTTTTCGCATACGTTCTACGTATGCTTCGCAGGCCAACTCGGCTGTCTCCTTCCATGACGGCCCATGCTCAGTATATAGGTTCAGCCTGTCATCTTTGAATTCTGCGAGTGTCCGTGCGTCGTATGTTTCGACCAGTTCGTTGATGAGGTCGACACTTGCTTTTCGTTTCAAATTTGTGAATTTCCGACCTTGTGCACGGTCATTCCGTAGGAGCGTAGCGCAATCTTGCTTCACTCGTGTTGTTGATCTAGCGTCACTCGCGAGATGTTGGAGTTGCTGACCGATGCAAGATATATCAGCTCGGCCATTTCTGATGAGGTAAGCGACGAATTTATCCCAGTTGATGATGGATTGGCAGGTGGACAGGATGGAGATGTTCTGAGCGATATCCAGGTTGGCTGTCTGGACAATACGGGTGATGATTCTTTTTTGTTGTGTGGGTGACATTTGAACACGAAGTGCAACTGGTCCCCGTGGTCCGCCCAGAGACAGTTGATGCGGGTATGTGGTGCGAAGGTTGGTTTTCGTCCACGGTAGATAAAGGTCCACAGTTTCTCTGGACCATCGTTTTCATTGGTGGTTGCTGACGATGAGTCCTCATCCTGAAATAGGCGTTTCCTAGACAAAGGGACCATAATAAAAAGATTTCTTCATCACAAACATACCATTGTTCTATTAACCACATGCCGGAAACACCAAGGGATTTGTTTGAGAGCCTAGACGCAGACGAAAAAGAGAGCTTCATTAACTTGATGACTCAATTATAGTTCAACAAGTCGATCAAACGATATAAGATTATGAGCGCACCAGTGTGGCGCCTAGCACGCATGGCACCAGAAGCCATACTTAACAGTGAACACGATTGCAAAAGGTATACTTCATATGGACAATGTTCACTGGCAAGTTACCGCATACCGAACTACTGGAAACCTTGACGAACATGGCAAACCACTACTACTACTCTCACTTTCTCCGAACACCGGGACAAAATCCGATACCATCATCTACTTCGTAGAACAGCTATATAAATACCTGCAACAAGTAAAACGTCAAAAGTGCCAAGAGTGGCGCGAGAGTAAACCGAAACCACCGACAGTAGCACCTCCAATCACAAAAGTCACAGTACCACGACTAGTACAACCAGCCGTACTGGATAAGAATACAAGAATACGCATTTTGACATTACATTTAACCGAAAACAACACACTACCATTGCTCAATACAAGCCAGGAACAGCTAGAACCAACCAATCCTACATATCATGTATGTCTTATCAGTTCTTCGAGTTTTGGGCTATTATAGCAACGCTGGAGACGGCTACCGAGATCCTTACAGCTCTATCCAAAACGAATTTGATTATTGTTACTTGAAAAAAAAACGTCCTGTCTACCGCGCGCGCCCTTCGATTGGCTGCGCTACACTTGCACGCTCTCCGTCACATTGTGGGAA